CGTGCTGCACCTTGATGCCGAGACAAATGTCTGGGCTGCCCAGGTCCTTCATCTTGAAGCGCTTGGAGATGGCCTTCTTGAACGCGGCCATGTCGCTGTCGCTGTCGGCGAAGATGAGCAGGTCGTCCACGTAGACGGCAACCCACATCACCTTGCCACCCTTGCAGGTGCGGCGGTAGATGCAGGCATCCGTGGCTGTGGCGATGAAGTCCTGCTCGCGCATCCAGGCGTCCAGCGTGTGGTTCCACAGGCGCGGGCTCTGCTTCAGGCCATACAACCCGCGCTTGAGGCGCAGGACCGTATTCGGCGAGAAGATGCCGTCGACGGCCGGTGGCTGGACGTAGATCTCGTGATCCACGGGCGCGTTGAGGAACGCCGTGTTGACGTCCATCTGCTGGATGTCCATGCCACGCGCGACGGCCATGGCGAGCATGGTGCGGATGGCTGCGATGGTAGCCGTCGGGGCAAAGGTGTCCGTGTAGTTGACACCGTGGACCTGGGAGTAGCCTTTGGCAACCCAGCGCGCCTTGTACTTGATCACCTTGCCCTGGTCGTCACGCTTCCTCCGAAAGATGACCATGCTGCGGAGCAGCTTGTGGCCCTTGGGAAGGTCAGCGCGAGGCACGACGTCGTAGACGTCATTGGCCTGCATTGCCGCAAACTCGTCCAGGATGGCTTGGCGCCACTCCTCAGAGTCTGGCGAGGCAAGCGCCTCCTTGACGGTGGCTGGCTCAGCTGACGTGGCAACACTGCCAACAGCGATGTCTGGTAGATGACCACCCACTGCTGATGTCTTCTCCCCCGTACCAGCAGCGCTGGTGGCAACGTGACACGTGGTGGTTGAGCCACCAGAGGTGTCCTTGTCGCCGAGGGTCTCGGACAACAGCAGCTGGTCCCAGACGGAGCCGCCAAGGGCGCGTGGCTGGAGCTGCGGCTCCCCCGCACGTGGTGCAGTGGGAGCGCCGGTGGCACTGTCCTCGGTTGAACGCTGAGCGGTCTTATTGGCATGCGAAGCAGAGGCACCGCTGTTGTGCTCTTGCTGCTGCTGAGAGGAGGCGGCGTCCTTGTTCTTGATGGCGCCGAAGCGAGCGTGGATGGTGTGGACAACGCGTCGCGTGTCCGGCATCCAGACGACGTGGGCCTGGTCCTCCTCGGCGAAGCCGACGTAGACGCCGACGCGTGAGCGTGGGTCAAGCTTGTGCCGCGTGCTGCTCTTCTCCACATGCACGTAGGTCGGCGAGCCGAAGACGCGCAACAGGCTGACGTCAAAGGCGTGCCCAGTCAGGGCCTCGAACGGTGACTTGTCCTTGAGGCTCCTGCGTGGCGCGATGTTGTGCAGCAGCGTGGCGTGCTGCACGGCGAAGCCCCAGAACGGCTTGTCCAGGTCCGCAGCAAACAGCATCGTGCGCGCCGTCTCAAAGAGGGTGCGGAAGGTGCGCTCCGCGGATCCGTTCTTGGCCTGCGAGTGCGGTGGCGAGAAGCGCTGCTTGATGTCGAAGGCCAGGCACAGGTCGGTGAAGTCCTGGCTCTTGAAGACGGCGTCGCTGTCCGTCTGCAGCGTGGCGCCTCGGAGCGCGTTGATGACGTGACGGTCCTTGCGCAGCTGCTCCAGGGCCGCACCGACGTCGTTCTTGTGCCGGATGAGAAACGTCCAGGCGAAACGCGTGCAGTCGTCGATGAAGGTCAGCGCGTAGCGTGCACCTCGCAGCGACGTCTCCTCCAGCGGACCGGCGATGTCGGCGTAGAGCAGCTGGCATGGCCCAGCGCTACGTGGAGCAGACTGCTTTGGGATGGAGGCGCGCGTGCTCTTGCCAAGCGCACATGGTCCACAGGTGACGATGTGCTTGGAAGAGGCCTGGGCGATCTGCTGCCGGATGGCGTCAACGGCCGCGCTGCTGCGATGGCCTAG